TTTTTGCTTAAACAGCAACAACTAAAAAGAAAAACAAAGTAGTTATCCGGCAAACAAAACCTTATTTATAAATTCATAGGGTGTTATGTAGTTTTTAAATTGTACTATCAGTTTTTGACTTGCCTTTGATTGTAACAGACAAGAAACATGGCACAAGTAATTTTTAAGAATTTCAATTTCGGAGAAGTATCTTTCGGGATTATTCTTGCTATTTTAAACATCTTGCTACATTTTCTTCTACAACAGATTATAAAGTCCCTTTGAATACTGATGAGTACTTTAATATGTAAAGCACGTCTAATATTTTTCCTACGAAGTAAGAGCTTTGCTGTGATCGCAAAGCAATGACGGCGATGCATCGAAACACGTTGGAAAAAACAGTTCCATATATTTTAATACATGAGTGCCTTTCCATGTTCCCATCTGTCTGTTTCGCTCTTCTTCCTTAATTGACCATTAGCTGCATGTATCCATTATAATCACCACCACGCCACTTGTATTACCCATTTTTGTACAAATACACCTTGCTCAAATACAAAATATATAAACATAGTCATTGCATACGCACAATATATAAAATGAACACGTTAAATTACTTTCAAGAGAAAAAGTACAATAGATTTGTGGTATGGCACATTTAAAAAAACGAACTCCATTCAAATAAATTACATTTACAAATGCTGTTCAACGCTTTACCCTAGGAATTTAATTGATTAAAATATGTTTCAATTTTTGTCAATATAAAGTGAATGATTATGAATTACGTATTCAAATACGTTTAATGTTATTATTGCTTTTGAATATGTTTATAATCATTTCCCAATTCCTGTTAATGTTGTAAATGTTTTTGAATCGTAACATCATTAAATAAATTACCTCTGAAGAGGAAGAAAAACAAACCTGTTATCGAGACTGGCCCCAGGGCTAAATTCTTTTTAAAACACCTTTTCCATACTTCCTTCAATGCTAAATTATACAATGCTAAACAGGTAGATCCCCTAAATACCCCCATTTTTAAAGTGCACTTAAATACACATTAGATGAATTCTTGATCCCATTTCTTCAAAATGTTTTAAAGATTGGACATGCTTTCATACTTTTAACTTGTTATTTTCACTGCTATAATTCAAGTGCATGCAAACGTGTCAAATAATTCCCTTCAGGATCTAGAGCGTGGCCATATTTCTATTTCGATGTGGCGTAAAACTAAGATATAAAGAAGGAGAAAAAACACTTAATGTGGAATGACGTGATGTAGTATGATCTCAAGCACGTGTACGGTATCCTTAAAACAACAATTCCTCTCCATTATACTCTCAACGCGAGACATTATTTTAGTTGGGTCATTCATACACTTCAGAATCAATTTAAGGGGACCAACGGGGGCAGTACACCGTATACACGTGCCCCGGAAAGCGAAATGAACTAGATTTAGTTCTTACAGAGGAAATGCAGTTCTAGATCCCGTCATTTGAAAAGGTTGCGATTGATCCAAATCAATCGCAAGTCCTCTAATTAATCGGAAGGTTGTGCAGAGTTGCGAGTTGTATTAGTCGCAAATAATTATGATTTTTTTTGTTTTGTTATAAGGAGAGGCCCTGGTCATGCTTTACGGTGATAGAAACTATCGGGAATCGATTCGGAAATGTTGATTATGTATTATATATATTGCATTAGTACAGATGAATGTAAATGTGTGTATGTACGTGAGTGTGTATGTGTGAGTGCACGTGCGCGTATGTTTGTGGGTACATGTAGATATATAATGCATACATACACCCACATACTTACCTTCGTATTTGGTTTTGATCTTTTGATATCTTGTTATTCGGGAGGGGGGATTAGAGTTTAAAAAAAAAGTTTCTTGCAGCTGCCTAATGCAACGAAGGAAAATCTCCAGGACTACAAGTGATCAATGTTTTGGTTTAGAAAGTAAAGGTACGACGTAATTTTATTCAAAAAATTGTCTACATTTTTCGAACTGCGAAACAGAATGGGAAATCCCCTTTGTAGTGATCACGAAAAGTCATGTTTCTGTTTTTGTGTTGGATATGAAACGACTCCAATCCGCGATCAAAAAAATACCTTATTAATGAGGGGGTTTGACGATTGATAGCTCAAAGGGATAGTTGAGTTCTGTTGCAGAGGGCGCTACACAACATTTTTTTTTGGTGAGATAATGAAAAACTGAGTGTCAAATTTGAAAGAACATAATATTTAAATGACAAAATCATCTTTGTTTGATCACAATCGGTTCAGAGACGGCTGAAATATAACGATTTCTAATACTTGTGTACCACCACAAATATTAGATATTTTGAAAAATTTGAAAAAACCGAAAAGAACCGAAAAACGAAATAACGCTATTTACGTCGTATTTCAGCCAATGCCGATGTTGGCTTTTTTGTTGGCATTTTCGTGTTGCTTATTATTACCCACTATTACCCGGCTCATGTATTGTTATTTTAAATTAAATATTTAATTAACGGTCACCGTGTGTTTTTTTTGAAAATGCATGGACCTGAATTGGAATGATCGTATTGGCTAAATTTCACACATCTTGGGGTCTAAAATTACCTCCATAGCAATTTTAGGTTCTAAAAGGGCACTATAAATGCCATAGATAAGAATAAGAGCAATAACCAGCACTTTAAAGGCATTTGCGGTCTGAAAACATAACTCAACTATCCCTTCAACTTTTGAAAATCTCATTTGCTGATTAATGAACAGTATGGATGCACGTCAGCTTCATGTTATATTCATTTACGTCTTAAAACATTACTCTCTGTATATACTGAAACATGTATATAGAATCTTTCCCGATTAGGTATCTAATTATAATATTTATGTTTTTCTCCATGCCTCTTTTATCCTTCTTCCTTTTTCCCTGTTCCTGTATTTCTGTCTTTCTGCTTTCATGTCTCTCTTTCTCTCTGTGTCCCTATCTATATGTCTGTCTCTCTCCCACCTTCCACTCCTTGTGTCTCTCCCTGTGTCTCTGTTTTTCTCTCTATTCCTCTCTCACAAATTCCCCTACATGTTCTCTATTTCTCTGCCTGGATAGCTCTCTCAGTCTCCCCTCCTTTTTGTGTTCACTCTCCCTCTCTTTAGTATGCTTGTCTGTTTATCTCCCTACAGTATGTACAGTTTTTGTCTTTTTTTGTCCCCGTCCCCCGCTTCCCACCTAAATTTCAGGCTTAAGATTGTATGCGGGATTGATTAAAATTCAAGAGTCCTGAGATAAACGAAAATAGAGGCAGTTTATTTCTATGGAGTATGCTTCACTTACTTTTATTCATTCCTTTCCTTCGTTTCCTTGAGTATTTTTGGTTTGTACAATAAGGGACACGTCGTGTCAAGTGCTGTGTCGCATCGATTCTAAGTAAAACTTCTTAAAACCCGAACTGATTTCAAAATATGTCTACATCTCAACATTTTATATTGACGCACATTCCAAAAGTACTTTGACGCTTCCGCGTTTAACTGTAACCAATATTATGATAATAATGATTATAACAATAGCAACAACAATTGTAATCATATTAATGATAACGCTTATAATAATGATAATGCTTATAATAATAATAATAATAATAAGGGTAATTATATAATTATAATTATATAATAATCACCACAATTGTGATAATAATAACAATGATAATGATTTGACTGATTATTCATGAAAAATATTAAAGAAAATTAAGAAATTCCTTAAATCGCTAGTCTATGATGGGATTCTAAATCTTCCTCCTGCTTGTGTTTGAAAATGAACGATTTGTATTTTTAAACAGAATCATAGCTTTCATATTACTAGATGATCAGCAATTGATAAACGAAATGAAACCATTGCCGTGGAGGTGAGGAGTTATTAATCTGTGATTGACAAACTATATATATATATGTTTTTTTAAATAAACATGACTTAAGCGCTCTTTAACTCACCAGGATGCTAGCACTAGTACGAATGAAACATTACTCAATGCATAACGATACTAATATGAATGGTGATGATAGTAACGTTTATAATAATATTAACAATTACAATAGTAAAAATTGTAGTAATGATAACAATTTTAATATTAAAAACTAAAACAAAATTGATTATAATGATGATGATGATGGATAACAACATGTGGAAAGTAATACATAACAACGCAGTTTGAAGTATTTTCAGTGGCATACGAATAAAAAAAATTCTCTTAAAAAGAAAAAATTGCAAATAAGCGATTTAAAGTGATTTATTTTTCTAGACGCATTAGGCTTAAGGACTCATTTTCCATAAAATATATGAATAAGTGCTTGTTGGGGAGAGCCTTTTCAAGGTAAAATATATATTTCTTAAGCCCTGCATATTACTCTGGTTTTGATTTATTCATTGCCGTATATTTCTCAAGAAGGAAGATGATGGCAAACCCCTGGATTGTAATAGATGTTTTTGCGTATGGTATCGAGCAATTTTTGAAATACAACAAAAACATCCCAGGTTACCAGGTAGAAATCGCAATATTTCCGCTGTGAATGTAAGTTATGTACATATTAAATTACGAATGCTAAAAACAGAAAGTGCGTCTAAACATGAAAGTAGTTAGGCAGCCTCCAACTTGATTTTCAAAGCGGGTTTCTCTCCTCCTACTAATTGTTTTATTTTTGTTTCGTTAATAGGATAACACTCATCAAGCATGTTAATACAAATCCGGATGAAAGTTGAAATGGACTAAGAAACCGAAACACGTATGGACTATAAAACAATAGAATCATTGATGCATGCAACAGGCTCTCAACAATAAAATAAACAAATTTAACAGATTGAAATTAAAATTTTCTTCCTTTCAACATAACATATTGATTCATTTTTACAAAGAAAACATATGGCAAGCCGGAATGCATAGTTATATCATTTAATCAATAGTTACATCTTATATATAATAGATGTATAACATATCTTATTCATTGTCAAAACATTGCAAATATTGCATATCCCATTAAGGGTATATATTATATCCAATTTCTATTTCAGATTAAACAATAGAAACTTTCAACTAAGATGGATTATAAACAGATGGCATTATGCGGCGTGTTGGCCGTTGCATTGATGACGGCGGTTACCATGGCAGCCCCTCTGGAACTGTGGGAGATCGCTGCCCTGGATGAGCTCCTGGACGATGCCTATGCGGAGGCCATGACTGAAAAGGACAGTGGGAACATCAACAAAAGATCATCATGGAACTGTAAGCACAAGTGTGGGGTAAACGTAAAATGGTGTGATAACAGAACCATTACTTTTAAGAAGGTCAACAGAAACACATATGTGACATAGCATAAATATCAACTTTTGAAAATGTTATATTAATTTGTTAGCCGAAATGAGAATGCGAAAATCGCCAGAAGATTGTTATAGGACTGTAAGGACTGTGGCGTAGAAGATTGTTTTGTTATTTTCTTCTTTAATTTAATTGAATTATTAATATATTTATTGTTATTATAATTGTTGTGATGTTTTATTTATGTTTAGTGGTAGTAAGGGAGGGGGAAAGGAAGAACCTCGGAATTGAATAGGAATTAAACCTTCGGAATTTATTGGGCAAATTTTACCCAAAATCATAGAGGAGAAACCTCGCCAGATAATCACCCAGGAGCTTTAGGCAAAAGGGCGTAAGCCCTCAACACACTTGTAACATTTTGATTTGTTTCCATAGTAAGTTAGCCCTTTGTTACATTAATACATTAGCTTAATTAGACCATGACTACTTTTGAGTATTTTCCATTACATAAGTTGATTTGAAAAAGTACCTCTACTCGGCCTTTAACAAAAAAATAAACGCTCTATTTCAATAACCATTTATATATCTTTCACTCTTTTTATTTCCCCACTCTATATTTCTTCAAATCGAAAATCCATCTCATTGTATCTCTTTTGCTATGTCACACACACGTACTCACTCTCTCCCTTTCTCCTTCTCCCTCTCTACATTTCATTCTTTCTTTCGTTTTCTCCCTCTTAATATCTCTCTCTCTCTCTCTTTCGCTGTCTCTGCCCCTCTCTCTCTCTCTCTCTCTCTATCTTGCTCCCTCTCCCCCTCTCCAGATTGCCGGCATCACGTTACTGGAAAAATGTGTAAATGTTCTTCAATTTACGGCCTCTCATCACGAAAATACTTCGAATGTGAAGGTAAGAAGGTCACAACGTAGTGTGGGGCTGGGAAGGGGCGGAGGAGGATCTTTAAAAAGAGGCATTTTCTTCTGACATGTTAACTTAATAAAGGGCGAATAACACAATGGATTTCTGATTAGCAATGATTCTAGTATAAAAGGTAACATTGCAATAGTAACACCAATAAAAACAACCAAAATAAAAGTACTATTAATGACAATAACGATAATATCAATTCACTAATAATAAGAGTAACAAATAAATTAAAAAATTACAACGAAGAAGAGAATTTTGCTATAAATAAAAACAACCAATATAAACGTAACATTAATGACAATAACGATAATAACAATTCACTAGTAATAACAGTAACAAATAAATTAAAAATTTACAACGAAGAAGAGAATTTTGTTTAAAAAAATCACTTTATTTGCAATGAAGAAAGAACGATGAAAATATGATGTATTTACCACTACTTTAGAATAATATGCAAAATGATTTCTACCCAAGCGAATTTTCTTTTATATATTGCATCGGATATGATTTAATAGGCCCCAAACTTCAAGGCTTATCAGTCAATTATTGTACTTCTACACATCCTATTTAAGTTCATTCCACTTACTCCTAGAAGCGTAAAAAAGAGGGAAATGTTATGAAATAAATCTGAAATGCTTTCGTCCCCGTGTTTTACGGCAGACTCAGAAAAGACTCATTATTCAAAAATCCATGCACTGTTCTATATACCCATTAGCTAATCACTTATAGATAGGGCCCCTATCTATTCCTGGTTACGTGACAGGCTTTTTTCTTGATAGTGAATATGTTTTCCTTCCTAAGAGGGTGAGTTTTCGTTAGTAACACCGGGTGATGTGGTTCGATAAATTTGAAGGGCTATTCTATGTTCACTTAGGGAGACAGCACGTATAAATTTCCTTGACCTTTGTGACGCAGACACATGCCCACACGCACACGGCATTTTTATATTTATGTGCGTGTGTGGTGGTGTGCGTTTGTGTGTGAAGTGTGTGTTGACACTGTGCATCTGCGTCACCCCACGATGTTACACGAGAACTGAAAGAAAAGCAGAATCAAGGATACTAGGTATTTGTGTGCTTAGAAACACCTGTATCAAGCGCCTAATAAATGTTATGTATTATTAGTATTATTATTAGAAATCTGTGTATCCATCCAATAGGTGTACCCAATTATATCTACCATTCGAAAATGTCAATGAATAGGGACTTTTAGATTTGCGTCGACTGATACGTGTAACGTCCTTTCCATGCAGTGCATTAAAAGGAAGTCGATCGTAGCAATCCACGTTGTCGTTGTGCAAATCTAAAAGTCCCTAATGTTGACCTGAGGACTGCAGACACTGAAGCTGCCGAACATGAAGTCACCAAACCTGATTCGTTAATCGATTTTTACCAATACTATTGTTTTTTCAGCTCCACCGTACCTGAACAACCCGTGGAACAGGATAACACGCAACTGGTGATCATCATTACGTCAATTGAGCCGGTGTATTATATCCCAGTTATATTTATAAACTTGTTATCAGTTACCCCCTTCGCCTTCTTTCTCTATTCTTATCCTATGTTACACTCTTTCATTCGATCTGTACTCTCTCTCTCTCTCTCTCTCTCTCTCTCATGTGATTTCTTTGTGTTTCTCCCTTCTTACGCTTTCGACACTCCTGTTTTTTCGTGTGTTGCATTCATTAAAGAATTTATCTACATTAATTTATCCCATTATTATTACATCCGAACCACCCTACCCCTCCCCTGCCCCCTACCTGACATCTCACTAGCATGGTGTTCCTGGTAGTCCAATATCTCGGAACCATTTTCAGCAAATGTGTTCAATGGGAAACGAACTGCAGTCGAATAGCCCTACAGCCAGAATAGCCGCTTCGCTATTCGTCCTTATTTTTCTGTACATCGAAATAAACAATATTGCATTTAATGTATTGTGTATGTATATTTGCCGCTTACAGTTTCATATTGTCATAATGTTACGAGTTTAGGTGTAGCATTTAGCCTTGGTAGCAATCAGTTGCATTCATGTAAGTATGCATTTCATACGCCATTCTAAATATTTGTAATCGTGGTTACCTACATAACTAACATGTGTGTATAATCAGTGTTTAAAGCTGAATAATTTAACCAGCATGTTTTGTATAATTGGAAAAGAATTCTATGACACGTCCAGATTTATTTACCTTTGTGACAGTCTCAGTCCAGACACCTTAGCCCGAATTCACAAAGGAGCTTTGTCGACAAACCTAGGCTTAGGTGCGTCATATGACGCGATTCGATGCGATTCAGACCAAGCTTCAGAAAAACCTTGGTCTGAAACGCGTCAAAACGCGTCGCACATTAACCTATAGATTTGTCTACAAACCTCCTTTGCGAATTTGGGCCCCAGATTCCTTAAACATGTGAACTGGTAGACTAAAGCTAGCTGCCAGTTTTCCAAATAATGCCGTTTTGGCAATCTCCGCTTTGAAGTTGTCAGGCAGATGCCTATACAAGTCTGGAGAAGGTGTATAGAATTAGACACAACAAGTGTACAATAGGTAATTCAATTTGTACCTGAATTATGATTTATTGAGAGAGGTGTGATAAATAGATTAAATGAATGGCAGTCATGAGTTAATGTCCCACCACCAGCTTGTGAGGAGAATACGTCTCATAAAACATATTCATTTATTCTTGTAAAGATAATATTTATAACCTTATTTAAATGTAATCATCATGAATATTTGCATAACATTCCACAAATCATTGATATTTTAGAATATTACATAAGAATTCCGGATTGAAATATCGAGAAAAAAACAAAGAAATTGAAGAATAAATTTGGAAAAACCTAAACAATACTGAGCACGGATCATGCCTTTTCGCTGAGGTTTCAATGATTATTTGTTGTATATTTAAATTAATTTCTTTGATTTAAGATTGGTTGTAATTATCGATTGATTTTCAATAGGATTACCGAGAAAAAAAAAAGTGTTAGGGTTTTTCGGACGCCTCTGGAAATCTGTAAAAGATTGATTATAATGTTTTTTGTTATTGGATTCATTGTGAACCAGTATGATGGTATACTTGTGTTTTCTCGTCGTACATGGGTTAGGTGTACATATGTGTTGTTATTATTATCAATATTGTTCCTGTAAAATTATGAAAAGACTGTAACGTGTTTTTGCATTCGATGTTTGGTGTTGAAATAATAAATAATCATCAGTTGAATTGAATGCTTATTCATTTTTTTGGTTATTGTTGTGTTTGATTCAGCAATTAGGGTAAAAGTCGAGGAGAAGGGACAATGGGCAGATGTAAGGAGATGGAGAGGGAAAATAAAAAAAAACGAAAGGAGGAAAGGAGGCAAAAGGGAGATTGTGAGAGAAAGAAAGTAACTTAATTGAATTACGAGGGATTGAGAGAGAGAGAGAGAGAGAGAGAGAGAGAGAGAGTGAAGGTAGAGGGAGAGGAAGAGAGAGGCAGAGAGAGAGAGAGAGGGGCAGAGAGAGAGAGAGAGGCAGAGAGAGATGCAGAGATAGAGGCAGAGAGACAGACACGGATAGAGACAAGGTGAGAGCATGAAAGGGTACGTAACAAATATGGGTGGATGGAGAGAGAAAGAGAGACAGAGAGAGACAGAGAGGCACAAATAGATAAAGGCAGACAGTGGCAGACAGAGACAGACAGAGACAGAGACATGGTGAGCGAAGGAAAGGGTACATAACAAACATGGGGGTGGAGAGAGAGAGATGAAAACAAACTGTGAGGCTTAACAGAGGTGTAAATATTATGGCCCGAATTCACAAAGGAGGTTTGTCGACAAACTTTGGTTTTCGTACGCCATATGATGCTTTTTAAGCGTTTTTTTTTTCTACAAACCTGGCTTGTAAAAACGCGTCTAAACGCGTCATATGACGCAGGAAAACCAAGGTTTGTCGACAAACCTCCTTTGTGAATTCGGGCCTATTTGATTGATGTTCATTTATTGATGTTAATTTATTTTACATACACATCATGACACATATATTAATCTATAACTAAGCCACATGTAATCATATATAGACAAAGGGGTCGTCATAACCAATGCTTGAACTGACGTCCTCTAATCATTTGTTTTATTACATTTTGACCCATTCCTACTTCTGATTATTATCTGGGACCACATGGCTCTTTCATTTTTACCAATAATCCCTCGTAAGATAATACTCAGCTTTGTTTTTTAATATTTTGTTTTAATGAATATTGAAACGTTTTTTTTATATTTTTTAAACATATTTCTTCTACAGTGTTATGTTTGGTGTTACATTATCACTAATAATGATATTTACCCCTCTACATATAAAACAACTAATATAACCTTAGAGAGTTATGTGGATTTCAAAGGAGGCTATGATTCTAAAAAAAAAAAGGTAGAACAAATCGTAAGAATGCTAATTAACACATTTTGACAGTTCTCAATTTTTCTTTTTTACATTGGAAATGTGATGGGTATGGTAATAAAATCTGCAACTGTTGTTACATTGCCATTATAATTCATTGTTGTTTTTACAGCCCTAGCTTAAGATCTATTCATTTATTTTAAAATAATATAAAATGGATACTAACTTCTTATAAAACTTCTGAGCATAATTTTAATTTGAAAAAAAAAAACTCTTTAGATCATTTTAAAATGCCATAAATATAATGTGCGATTCCCCTCTTACATAGTGTACACTTATTCATTAGTTATCTTTTCATTTCCAAACCAGGGCACTTAGGCAGTCTCTACTTGTGTCTCAAATAACTATAATTTTCCATATTCGCAACAAATTCAGCTTTCAAAGCAAAAACAAGCTAACAATTTGTTTTTAATGACTCCTTTGTCGCATTGTTGAAAGGATTTGGCTGAGTGACCGACCTTGCCCAATCGTGGGCCATGGATAGACAAATGAGATGAAACTAAAGACAGAATGAAGAAAAAGAAGAATTAGGCATTGTCGTCTAGTAGATAAGACTCTGGGTTGTAAACTACAAAGTACGGGCTTTGAATCCCTGTTCCAGCTAGACATAAATTTACAATTGCCACACTCGACCCAGGTGAGGTCATGTTTTACGTGGTAGGATTGAATTCCTTTAAATGTTATAAAAACGTGCTAAAGTCAGGGTAATAACAATTGAACACAGGGTGTGGCAATATGCTAGAAACTAAAGCTACACAAGAACCCACAGTTATTGTTATTTATTACTGAAAATAAAATATCGTTTAGTCTTCAGAGGGCGCACGACGATGAATTTTATATTCCAACATTGAGGGCTGAATAGCTCGCTTTTTTTTCTTCAAATACATTTTCTGTATGGTCGTGCATTATTTGTTCAGTCCATTTGTTGTGCATAACTGAAATTAAGTGACCTTAATAAAGACAAAGATATAAAAAAAAAAAAAAAAAGCCTACGTTAAGAATGAATGAATGAATCACTAATGGCAATAATACAAGAACGTTTGAGAGTATTGTAGAAAAACCCAGCATAAGAATAAGAATTACATAATAGTTTAAGTGTTGCTATCTTTATCAAGGAATGTTGAATGTTCTTTAGCGATGCATACTAAACAAACATCAATAACAGCAACGACAATTCATACAAATACATCAATATCAACGACAAACAATTACAACAAGCGAATAACTTTTAATAGGAACTATATTAAAATTGGCTCAAAAATGAACAAATCCTTTCCTCAGTCTTTCCTCGGATTTCCCTACTTGTCAGCAGTGTGGCTGTAACATTTTCTTCATGATCGGATGGGCGCCATCTCCGGTGGTTATGGTCGAGGTAGTTGGATAATCATATCCATAAGAACACACACGAGCGCGCCCATAAAGATAGAGAGAGAGAGAGAGAGAGAGAGGAAGAGAAAGAGGAAGAGAGGGAGAGAGAGAAAAGATAATGGAGTGGGAAGTGAGTGGAGTGACAGAGAGACGGAGAGAAAGAGAGAGAGAGAGAGAGATGAGTGATGGGTACAATAAACGCTCGAGAAGTCATCATATTAACCCGTCGGTTGCTTTCTTCGTCTCTATGAACGGTGCTCGTCTGTCACACGTACATTTTCGCACAAAACATTGCGCACCGACTAACAGAAGGATTTCTTTATGTAACACAGTGACTTTACACAATTACCCATTTCCAGTCTTGATTAGCTCCATGGCAACCCTTTTACACGGAATACATTAATGTTCCACTAGAAAAAGTAAGATAATCTTGAAGCCTTTGGTATATCTATCAAATGATAAATATGTTGTGACACATGAAGATTATTTTGTGCGCCATATCATGAACATATTGATGGTAGGGTTTGTAATATGACAATGTTTGGACAGCCGGAGGGAGATATATCTTCCCAAGGGATTAAATGATCACCAAAACATATTTTCTCCCCGCTATTGCCATTTTATTAGCGTTCAACTTCCATCTATCTTACTTAAGTAATCTGTCAAACCAAGATTCCCTAGGTGATGTTACCGTTACTATAAATTACTTATGTTGTTAATGTCATGTTGACAAAAATTCAGTGATGCAATTTTTAGTGCTGTATATTTCTGTAATGTCATTAATCCATTGTAATATTTTGTCATTGGCTTTGCAATTTGTATATATATATATAATAATAATTACAGTGCTTATATAGCGCCTAACACTTACTTTGTCAGAAGTCTCTAAGCGCTCTACGCTAATGCAGCATAATTACCCTGGCTTTAGCAGTGCAGCTGTAAAGCGCGCTGCGTTTCAAGGAATAAATTCCAACCAGGTACCCATTTACTTCACCTGGGTGGAGTGTGGCAAATGTAGATCAATGTCTTGCCAAAGGACATTAGTGCAGCGGCGGGACTCGAACCGCGGACCTTGTGATCGACATATATATATTTATGTAGAGCACGTTGTTTCTATAAGAAGACACGCTATAGGCATAAGTATATGTTTATAATTTATTATAATAGTCTAGAAATGACAATGGTAAATTACTGAATATTCAAATTCAAATGAACATTTATTTTCTTCCAAATTATGATGGACTAGTATGTATTCATTAATTAATTGCAAGTGCAACAATTATTTCCATTTGTATAAATGTCAGTTATTCATGACATGATTTTATTCCGAAAATTCATGATTATTATTTGAGAGATCAGCATTCTACAAGCTTTGCTCTTCAGTGGATCCTCCATTCCCACACATTTAACTCACAAAGAGAGCATACATATTTTACTGTAAATGTGTACATTTTCATTTGTAATTTGATTCATGATTTGCAAAATGAAATATATTGATATGCATTGACTTCTTTGAAAGAACTTTTGTCATATTTGTCATTATGATTGTTCTGTTGCAAATGGAAATTAATACTAAAACTAAAACTGAAACCCTTCTGATAATATATTACCTGATTGGAAAGACTTCACATTAATCAATGATAATAAAAGCCAAAAACCGGATGTACCCATGGTAACAAATGTGTCCATGTATTTTTTACAACTTGATCATTCTCAATCTAGGAAAATGAATCACATGGAAATGTAAGATATTGTCACTAAATGAAATGACGATAGGTTTGAAAGGAAATTCGCGTATAAAGCATGTGGTATCAACTATTCTGTTGCTTTCGTCGCCTCTCTCTATCGCCGCTTGGTTGCCACACGTGTAATTTTTTTTCGCAAAACACGGAATGACTGCTTCGTGCAACACAATTGCTTAAAGCAAAATGTACTAGTTTCGATCTTGTTTAGTTCCAGTCCAACCAGTTTAACATAAGTAAGTGAGATTTTAATAATTTCTTTGAAAAGGGAATCAAGATATTATGAAAATTGAAAAATAAAAGAAGAAAAGGGTTCAATCACTTTTCAATCTCGTAGCTATTCGTTTTGCTATAACACATGCCAAGATATGTCATGGCAATTAAAAATGCCTGTCGAAAGGGCGTCTTTTAGAACTATATTCGACAATAAAGAAATTGGTTTAAAACTCACTTGGAATGATAATGGTTTAAGGGAAATAATTCATGAAAAATGTACTTACCCCAATACCAAGTGCAGTAACAATGTAAAAAAAACACACCTTTACTTACGCACCACAATAATACCATAGGCCGAGCATACCTTCCGCTTTCCCGTTACTTTCTTAAATTAATATATATACATGATTATACAAGGACCTTTATTGTCTTATTTATTAACAATGCGACCTTAATTATGAGAACCGA